TTGTATTTTGTCTTTTATCAAGTGATGCAAACAAATGTGTTATTATTATTATTATTATTATTATTATTATACAGTATATACAGTATGTTTAGTACACTACACGTGCGCGCGCTGTTCACGACTTTTCAACAATACTTGAATAGACAGCACACGTGTGAAGTCAACGAAACAAATTTGATTAGCCATGGCTTGTCATCTACATTATAACTGGCAGTCATTACACATAAATGATATTATAAAGAAAGAGAGAGAGAGAGAGAGAGAGAGAGATAAAGAGAGAGAGAGAGAGAGAGAGAGAGAATTGACAGTTTATTTTTGAAAACATATTTTCCTAAATAAATTATATTTAATAATATATATACTAAATGTTATCAATGATTCACAAATTTCAAAATAAACTTATATTTAAAATCTATATTACTGTCAAAAAAAAAAATTAGTCAAAATATGTTTAGAGTTTAAACTTTAGACTTAAACAATATATAAATATATAAATTTATATATATATTAATTATTATAATATAGTTTCAATTATCTCATCAAAATTCAAACTATTGCTAATAGTGTTAATTATTATTAAATTTTTATTTTCATATGTATTATATGAAAAATTTTTCATAAACTATATAATATATCACTATTTTTTAAAAAAAATAAATATACAATTTATTATTTTGATTGATTATATTCTAGTAGTAATAGTAGATAATTATAGTTAAATATGTTTTTACAATACTAATTATCTAACTAACTAAACAATAAATAAATTGTAAATTAATATTATTTTATATTATTTTATTATAGTTTTTAAAAATTAAGTTTTTAGAAAAAAAATCCAATTGCAGTATTATTTTAATAATAAATAAAATTATAAACTAACCAAATAACAAAATAATTAAATATTTTTTATTTTTTTTAATATTGAATTTTAGTTTATACATTAAAATAAAAAATAAAATTTTAGTTTTCAATTAAATATTAGATAAGTAAGAGGACAGATACTTATATTATTAATTAATTTTTTAATCTAATATTATATATTATAATACAATTATATATATAAATATATTATGATATATGATATATATGTATATATATTGTATATATGAATTGCTGATCGTTGTAGTAGTTAGTGATGAGAGAGAGAGAGAGAGAGAGAGAGAGAGTCATCGATGCCATTGTCAATGATGAACATAACTTAATAATAATAATATAAATAATAAAACAGAAACTCTATACTWCTCTCTCTCTCTCTCTCTCTCTCTCTCTCTCGACTTATTCACAGATTATTAAAAGTCTATTCATATGAGTGTTATATTATATATTATATAATAATAGAGAGATAGGGATAGGAATTGGAGGCTATAATTCAGTTACAATGAATTAAAGAGCTATTGTATTGTTAGTTGTGTAGTAAATATATAGTAGTATTATATACTATACTATAATATTGTCGATGTAGTCACTGCTCTCTCTCTCTCTCTCTCTCATCAATCCGATCCGTAAGCTCTATGTATGTATACATTAAGCGTACAGATATACAGATGCAATACTTCTCATCCCTCACTCATCTCTCTCTCTCTCTCTCTCTCTCTCTCTCTCTCTCTACACACACACATAATATACAACAGTTTACTACAATATTTTTCAATCCTATTGTTCATATGATTATCAAATCCGATCCATACATACATACATTTTCAGACAAAGTAGTAGTCGTCGTCTATCCTCCTCTTTTAATACAACCATTATTTCAATCCCTTATATATCATATATATTATAATAATAGATATACATATATATATAAAGAGAGAGAGAGAGAGAGAGAGAGAGAGAGAGAGAGAGAGTGAATAAAGTATTTATCTCGAAAATAAAAATCAAAACTATTATATATTATATTATATATATATAGATATCTATATATTTTCATGAAAGACTATTATCATATGTGTGTTTGAGAGAGAGAGAGAGAGAGAGAGAGAGAGAGAGAGAGAGAGAGAGAGAGAGAGAGAGAGAGAGAGAGAGAGAGAGTCTATAATTAGATTCAAGTTCCCATAATTAGACAATAGTGTTACCCAAAAATAAAAAAATAAAAAATAATAAAAATAAAAATTATCTGTATATTAACTTATACTGTATTTATTAAATATATTGCACCGATAAAAATGCTTAATCAGCAACACATTTATAATGATATTTTTAGTTTTGAAAATTTTATTTATTTATTTATATTTTTTTGGGGTAACAATTTCATACAGTCATATTGTTAGGGTTGGGTTTTTCATCTATCAGTGCCTATCACTATACAGTATTATTATTATTATCTATAATATATATTAGTCAGAGGAAAACTGTTAGGGAATCTGCCATCAGATTCTTGAACTTAGAGCTCATGAGATTTAAGTGTCGATTCTGTATATACAGTATATATACTGTATATATATATATATATATAAATATTTAATAGTATTCACATATATATATATAAAGTATATATATATATATATAGTATATTTCCAAACAAAATGCTTTAACATCAAGTTTTTTTTTGAGACACACTCATAGTCAACATTGCATATACTGTATATAGAGTTAGTTATATATATATATATGACACACGCATTTGATCTGAGTGTATGTATGTGTGTGTGTGTTTGAGAGAGAGAGAGAGAGAGAGAGAGAGAGCACCGGGAGATGATAGTAGAGAGAGAGAGAGAGAGAGAGAGAGAGAGAGAGAGTACATGAGATAAAGAAATAGCAATTACAGTGTCCGGTGAGACGGAAAATACTGAAATTGAGAGGTCGATACCCAATGTGACTGTGCCAGCCAGGGCTCATACATACTGTACATACATACATACATACATACAGTACATACAGAAGCCTTATGGCTGAGCCTAAAGTGCCTAAACTGCACACACACACACTCAGAAAATGCTTATATCGATTGCCATTTGATTATACATAGAAACAGATAGACTGATAGATAGATAGATAGTCAGACATTATTAAGTTAATAATAATAACCAATAAAAATATATATATATAGATAGTCTCAAAAAAATAAATTATATATAAATTACTGTATCTATATATACACTTATTTTAACACGTTTACTAATAATATACTACTGTACTGTATATAATGATGATATTAAATGCTAAATTTAATTTGTCTTCAAATTTAATTTGTTTTTCAATTAATTATTAAAGTTTTAATACAAAATTATATCATATATATATATATATGGATAAATAATTATTATTTGATATTGATTTTTTATTAAACACAATCACACAAACATGCAATTGTATGCAATTATAGTATATGTCTATAAAAAAAATTTAAAAATTATATTTTAAGATAATATACTGTATATATAAAGTATGATAAACATAAACCTTTTAATATAAATCAATGATTTTTTTTTGACTTTAATAATGATAATAAAAAAAAATTATTAGAAATTAATAACTTAAATAAACTAAATTGATTTGATTGATATTAATTAATATTAAAACAGTTTAAATTAAAAAAAACAAGATAAATATAAATTAATATTAGTATTATCAAAATTTTTGGTTTTTTGTTTATTAAATTTTTAAACTATTTATTTTTTATTAATTTATTTAATATCAATAATTACTTTAAAAAATTATATATATATTAGAAATATTTAAATTTATTTATTTTAAAAATAAAGTAATCAACAAAATTAAATAAACACAAAAACGGCATAATTTGAATATAATTTAAATTTATTTATTTATTATTATTTTTTTACATAATATTTATTTATATTTTTTATTTATTTCAAATATATTTATACAATTAACATAGAACATTTTAATTAAATTAATTAAAAATTTTGAAAATTTGATTTTCATGATTATGATGCTGATTTTTTTTCACTGTAAATATATATGACCCTGACATTAAAATATTTATATTAAAATTATTATGTTAATTTATTATTTTCATAAATATATTTTTAATAATAATAATTTAAATGAATAAATTTGTTGTACACTATATTTTTTATTATTAATTATTTTTATTATTATTATTGTCTCATTTTTGGATTACAATATTATATACTGTATATATAGTATTGTTTTTATTTTTTTACATTTAAATTTTTTAATTGTCTAGAAAATAATGATATTTTTATTTATTTTTTTTTGTTTTGAAGGTATATTTTTATTGTAAGTGACAATACATTTATATATATATATATATTACATATAATTTGTTGAATGTTTTTTATTTTAAAGGCATGTTTTCACAAACAAACAAAAATAATAAAATAACATATTATAGGACCTAATAATAAAACCAATTATATCTTATATATATGATAGTGAAAATGATTAATAATAAAAAATTTTTTTAGTATAAAATATTTAATTTATTAATAAATATGTGTGATTTTTGTATGTGTGTGTGTTTTTATGTTAAAAATTGGTATTATATATATATATGATGTTTATATATTGTGTTGTATTTTCATTATTTTAAAAAATAGTCAATTTTTATACACAATCAATGATGGATGATAATGATAATAATAATAATTATGATAATATCTATTGATAATTTTTTTAGTGGTATTATTACCACAATTAAAACAATCAACAAAAAAAACGCACAATTATTAATATCCATTAAATAATATATATAATTACAATATATTTGATGTTATAATTTTGTTGTTTAAATAAACTGATAAATAAATTATTATTATTATCATAATTATTATCAATTAATTAATACCTTTTAATATAATAACGTATAGTATATATATATATTGATAGATATCCGTCCAGAATATTCTATATATATATACTATCAAAAAAAAATTATTATTATTATTATTAATTTTAGCGAAAAAAAATGTTGGCATATATTGCACACATTTATTAATAATTGAAAAATTATTATTATTATTATTAAAAATAATTATTATTATTTTTTTTTATTTTTTTTTTTAGTTTAATTGTCACTGAATTCTGGGCCAATAGTTTGATGAAACGGCAGCTGACATGGCGTTTGATAGATCCGATGACTGTCCCGGCACTTGTACTGGCACTGACACACCCGGCGATATTAGGCCTAATTGTTGAGAGAGAGAGAGAGAGAGAGAGAGAGAGAGAGAGAGAGAGAGAGAGAGAGAGAGCTAGATCAATAAAAATTTTATGAGAAAGATGGAATCCTGGGACGTATAATTTAGTATAGTTAGTTTTTATAATATTGATCTAAAACTATAATAAATATCTATGATATATATATATATATAATTATTCTATTTACAATTTTTAATTATCTTGCTTAGTTTTTGAGATATTAAAGATAAACCTTTTTACCATTATATAAATTTAGTAACAAATATAATTAATAAAATTTTATAAGAAAAAATTATATAATGGTAAAAATGTTTTTCTTTAATATCTTAAAAACTAAGCATGATAATTAAAAATTGTAAATAGAATAATCATTCCTAATAAAATAACAAATAATAATAGATTAATTTCATATCAAAATACCTTGACACTTTTTTTCTAGAAAATATCAAAATATTACAAATTTTACATTTTTTTGCTTTTTGTTTAAAATTTATTAATTTTTAAAAAAATTACTGAAATACGTGTCTAATGAATTTTCACCTATTTTAAATTCATATTATCAGAATTTAGATATTTATTATAGTTTTAGAGATATGGCACCTACCGGTGCTTAGCTACATAAGCTTAAATTTATAAAACTTAACTATACTAAGTTATACGTCCCAGGATTCCATGTATCTCATAAAATTTTTATTGATCTAGCTCAATTAGTTATAGAGATATTAAGCAAAAACCAGTTCGCACCCTTCTGTCACAGACTTTATATATATATAAAACCTGCCGTACCTGTCGACGTGGCCGGATTGTTGACCGACCCGAACTGACCGTTAACCGATTGCATGGCGTGAACCTGGGCAGCCGATGGACAGGGTGGCCGCGAATAGCCGCCCAGTCCKATGGGRTCGTAACCGCGACCYGGCCCCGGCGGCAACATACACGAGTAGGACGAGGCGGCCGCCGCGGCCGCTGCCTGTTGCTGCAGACACGAGTTGGAGGCCATATTGTTGGCGGCCATTGAATAGGATGTCATACCCATTGAACTGGTATTAATTATTAGTTARWWAASAGTTTAGTTTTAGGTTAGGTTAGCATTTAAATTATTATTAATTATTATTATACCTATAGGTGTCGGCCATGGATGCGGCCATCGGTTGCGGTATCGACGAGTACAGCGAATTGGCAAAACCTGACGGATTGATGGGTATGTGTCGGGATGTCGGCGCTGTCCCAGCGGACGGCATACCCGGATTGTTGCTATGGTGGCTATGATGATGATGATGATGATGATGTCCACCGATACTGCCTGAGCCGCCGCCACCACTGGCGCCGCCGGTCTGGTCGGTGACCACTGCCCGCCGTTGGTTGCGTAGCTTTTCCTCGCGCCGCCATTTGGCGCGCCTATTGCTAAACCAAACCTGCATAATATGATCGTAGGCCTGATCGATGAATATCAAGTAAATACAAGCCATAGGAGGATATATACAGATAATATATATATATAGATATATATAGATATATAGATAGATTGATGCTATTGTTTTTTTATTGCAACACAATTAACTAATTAACTATTACTATTACAGTTAACTATTAACTACTACTAACTAAAGTATAGTATACAACAAACAGTTACCCAAAAAAAAAATAAAATAATTATTGTATTTATTTATTTTTTAGGTTACAAAATGCAATTATAGACTAAAATATTCATATATTTTAAGGAAATTTTTGTTTTCAATTTTATTTTTATTTTTACATACAATCATAAACATAATATAGTGCTTAATAGATTAACTAACTAAATAATAATAATATTATTAATTAATAATTTAACCATGCTTAATTTGTGCTTTAAAAAAAATAATAATTTAGATAATTGACTACACTTAGAAAAATGGATACACAGTTAAGTTTTAATTGTTAATTATATAATTATAATATTTATTTAGCAAAAATAAAATAACATAAGTTTGTTATATTGTTGTTAGTGTTTTTTTGAATATTACTAATTGATAGGGATTTTAATATTTATAATAATAATAATCTCATAATATGTTATAAAATAACTTTTTTTTTCTTTAAAAATCTATTATATATTTTATTTAGTTAATAATAATACAACACAAACACATACCTGAATCCTGGCCTCTGGTAAGTCTATTTTTGCGGCTAACCGTTCCCTAGCAAACACATCCGGATAATGGGTTCGTTCAAACTCTATATTTCCACAAAAAATAAATAAATATTTAATTAATTAAATTTAATTTTAGTTAGATATGAAAAAATTTAATTTTAATTAGATAATCAATTTCGATAGAAACCTATCCGATAACTATTATGTACTGTATATTAATAATAATAATAGTGATTAAAAAAAAAACTAATTTTTTGTTAACAACAAATAATTGTTTTATCAATATTTTTTAATTTTTGTTTTTAATAACTACTAAATGAAATCATTAATTGATAACAAATATATATTGAAAGTTATTATATACAGTATATATATATATATATATATATATATAATAGTTAACAATCACATAAAATCAATTTGTTTAGTTAATATTTTTTTGTGGTATATCTACTGTATATCTATATAATCTAATATTAGTAATTATATATATATATATATATATATATATATATATATATATATATATATATATATATTATTATCTCTATAAATTATTAATCTATAATACAAAATTGCTAAATTAAAATTAAGTTAAACCCAACAAAACTAAACTAATTAAAAAAAATAACAACAATTTTGTCTCTGATAATCTGCAATAAATTAGAAATCAAAAATAAAATTCAATTATATCAATAAAAAAAATTAATTAATTAATTAATTTTCTATAATAACTTTAATATATAGTAATCTCTCTCTCTCTCTCTCTCTCTCTCTCTCTCACACACACTCACTCACTCACTCACTCACTCACTCACTCACTCACTCACTAATAAAACAAAAATAGTTTATTTAGCTAAACTTAATTTTTTTAGCTATCAAATCTAATCAAACATATAAATATTTTATATAATAATAATAACAACAAAATTTTAAATGTCTTATCAAATTATAATTGGTCTGTCATTTCATGTTATGTTTAAAAACTAAAACAAAAAAAAACAAAAATCTCATATCATATCACTTTAATAATTGTCTAATCAATTTGCGTGTCTATACAGTCAGCTCAGTCATCCTGTATTTAGCTCAGTTAGCTATAGATTTTTTGTTGGTTTTTTTTAATAAATACCCTCCTTATATAGTGGGGGGGGTTAGGGGTGGTAGAGGAGGACATACCCTTTTCCAATGCCTCGATCTGTTCGGGTGTAAATGAGGTCCGATTTCGCTGCAGTTTCCGTTTGAGCCGTAGTCTGGCCGCTGAATCGCCGCCTTCGGTACTGTCGTTATGGGACGAGTCCTCTGTACCCGAATCGGGATCAGCTATTTGTTTATACAGACAAAAAAAAAATAATTATAATAATAGTTTTTTTTTAATTATTAAAGAAAAAATTTATATATATTTTTAGTAAACTATTATTCAAAATGTTTAGTATTATTATACTGTATCTGAAAATATAATAAATTAAATAATATCTTATTAATAATAATAATTAAAATAGCTATTAATTTTGAGTTTCAATAAAAAATATGTTAAATTTTATATTAATATATAATAATAATTATTATTATTTTATTGATTATTAATATATTGATAATACTGTTTATTATTGCATTTTTTTTGTTCACTGAAAAAAATATTAAGTTAATTGTAGTCACACTAAAAAATATATATTATATATACAATTACTGTACTATTTTTTGCCAAAATATATACTATATATATACAGTTATCGCATATATATATATATATATATATAAAATTTTAAATGTCCAGTACTTATCAACAACAAAAAATCCTATTCATTGCTATAATATTATAGTATTTATTACATAAAACTTGCGATAAAACTTTTTTTTGAAATTATATTATATTTTATTTTTTGTTAACAAAATCTTTCCATTTTTCTCTCACTATATTTCTTTTTGTATTAAATTTTTATATAASATATACGGTATATATATATATATATATAAAATAACAACAAAAAAATAAAATTGCTTTGAATTTAGTTTTTAAAAAAATCGCCATAAACTATAAAATACATTAATAATATTGAGAGAGAGAGAAAGAAAGAGAGAAAATGCGACAAAAATTTTTATATAATTTTTTTTTTGTTGGTAGTTGTCATACAATTTTGTGCCATTTGTTTGTTATTATTATTATTATTATTATTTATGGCTAAAGCGTGTCCTTATATTTTTGACGACAACATAGCCAGCCAGCCATCAGTTGAGAGCATCACTACTACTACTACTACTACTACTACTGGTATTATTATATAAGAGGCCTAAACCTTATACATGTACTGTATGTGTGTATGTGTTATCAGTTTGTGGACACACATCGTAGACATTTGAAAGAGACTGAGAGAGAGAGAGAGAGAGAGAGAGAGAGAGAGAGAGAGAGAGAGAGAGAGAGAGAGAGAGAGAGAGAGAGAGAGAGAAAGAGAGAGAGAGAGAGAGATGACTATACTTCGGGTCAGTCATTCAATGGCTGGGTGTGTGTGTGTGTATGAGTGATGTGACCGTCCATTTCACTCATATACGGATCATTCAGGCAGAAGTACCTGATAAGAGTCCATACCATATATATATATATATATATATATATATATATATATATATATATATATATATATATATATATATATATATACCGTATAAATGGTACTCATTTTTGGCCATAACATTACAACACATACACACTTAGCCATTGAATTTGATAAATATATATATATATATATATATATAAATAGTAATATTTTGTATACAACTTAATACACACTTATACGGTATATATATACACACTGTATAAAAGGCCATTAACTACAAGATATATGCAATTTAATACAGTATATACTGTATTATAAAATAGCGTATAATAAATGGTGACATAACATAAAATTATTTGTTAAGTAATATCATTTTATAAGATATTGAGAGCTAAAAAATTAAAAATATAATTGCATATATAACACGATATGACAATCAAATACAGTATAGTATAGTATAGTATACTATGATATGATATATTATAGACTATAGTATAGTATAAATTAATTTTTATGGTCATATCATTACATATGGATGACCACCGCAATGATTAGTTAACTTAATCTCTCTCTCTCTCTCTCTCTCTCTCTCTCTCTCTCTCTCTCTCTCTCTCTCTCTCTCTCTCTTTATCTCATTATTTATTATATTATTAATAATATGGTTAGATATTATTATATCTACTAATAATGTGTGTGTATGTATGTGTGTATATGTATGTGTGTATATGTATGTGTGTATATGTATGTGTGTATATGTATGTGTGTATATGTATGTATGTATGTGTGTGTGTGTGTGTGTGTGTGTGTGTGCAAGTTTGGTGACATTTTTACTAACACACACACACACACACACACACAAAATGTTTCAAAAATAATAAAATATTTATTAAAATATTTATAGTTTTAAAAAAATAAATATTTTATTAGCTAAATATATGTGAAAAATTTATATATATATATATATATAATTATAATTAAACACTAATTTCAATAAAATTTATTATTATTTTTTTTAAATATTAAAATATAAATTATACTCTCTATTATAAATTTAATCATATATATATATATATCATATCATATATATATATATATATCATATCATATATATATATATTTAATATTATAATAAGTTATTATAATTTTTATTTTTTTCAAAAAAAAAATAATTACCTTTTTTATGATGAGATGAACCATTTTCGATGGGAGTGGTCGGCGGCGGAACACTGGTCGGTACACAATGAGCTGGTATACCGCCAAACGGTGCCGAACCGGGATACCATGGCGACGGTCTAGGCCAACCTGCCTGGCCGTTCAATATACGCAACTTATCGTAGACGGCATCGGCTGCCTGTGAATGATGGGATTGTTGCTCTTTCTGGGCGGCCAGATTACGGAGCACCCGATTAATGGACGACACCTATATATATATATAGATAAAATAAGGTATAGTTCCCCATATATTAGACATACAGTTGTTTTTTTTTGTTGATATTTTATAAGTATTAAAATTTATGTTTTAAATGCTATTTTATTTATAATATATACAAACTTATAATATCGATGCATACAGTATATTGATATTGATATATATGCTAAATATTACTGTTGTAATAATAATAAACAAACAAACAAAACTATAATATTTTTTTCAGGATATATATTAAATATTATACCTTAACATTACTACATTACTGACTATAATATATATATATATATTGATAAATCTATATATAATAATAGCATTTACAGTACAGTATTGTTGTTGTTGTTGGTCTATTGATTGAACTACTATTTACAGCTATTAGGCAATTGGTATTTATATGGTATTGCAAACACACACACACACACACATAACATACATAGATATATATTATATAACAACACAACAAAAATACAAATGTTATTAATCATTGAGAAAATTGAAATAATTGTGATTTTCATCAGATTTGATTAATAGCTTATAACACATTACGTAATGCTATTTATATGTATATTATACTGTATTATATATATAGCGAGAAAGTTGTCGGTATATTAATAAACAATTTTGTTTTAAGTGCTATCTCTCTCTCTCTCTCTCTCTCTCTCTCTCTCTCTCTTGTTGTTTATGCAATTATGTAAAACATTTGCGGTATTTCCTATAGCCTCTAACACACTATGAAATATGTGTTTTTGAATTATATATATATATAAATAATAATAATAATAAATAGGAATGTAATTCAAATATCAAATCAAATTTTTCTATGATATGTATGATTTAAATAATACATTTTTACTATAATTATAATTTTTATGTTATATGGTATATAATACCAGTGTGTAGAGTATGCAATTTAAATATACTCAATTAAAAATTATATATATATATATATAATTATAATATACAACAACAAAAAAACATACGGCATATAATATATATATATATATATATATTAACAACTTGTTAATTAACATAATAATATTAAGCATTACACTAACTAAAACATTATATAGTACTACAGTGTATATAATGTAAATTTTGTATCAATTAATTGTTGTATAATTTTTTTTTTTGTTTTGTTTAATGATAATATTAAATATTAATATTGTTTTTTTAAAAAAAAACATAAATTACAATTAATTATATCTACAATAGTTTACAAATATTGTTATGCATTAAAATATAATCTAATTTAATATATATACAGTATATACAGTATATATATACTATACACTGTATATATAATCCAATAATGAAATTGCATCCCACTATATATATAAATACTATATGATATATACATATATAATTGTATTTTGAATTATATTTGATAAAAATATAAATAACTTAATAATAATAATAATAATAGTATTGTGTGTAATAGTAGTTGTAAATAGATTTGTCAATTGATAAAATCAAATATCATATTACCAAACATGTATAATACCAAAAACATATAAAGCGCCGGTATATACAACAATATACTGTATATTAAATACATACATGTATTTCATATATTATATTTCAGGGGTAATACTACTACTACTACTACTACTGTATATTATAACTAAATAATATTAGTGTCAAAAAAATGTGTTATTCATCCGATAACTAACAAATGTTAACCGTTTTTTGAAATAAAATAATAATAATAATATTAAGTAAAGTAAAAGCCCAGCCATTGTAATGTAAATCAATGTGAATTAAATTGGATTTTTATATATATATATATATATATATATATGTTATTTCCAATTGATAGTTGAATTTACATGTTTTGTCTTTTATATATATATATATATTATATTATAGTAAATATATTATATATATTGTTAAACATAATTTATTTTTTGAGCAAAACATTTAACTGTTTAGTTAATATCTATATCTATATATATATATATATATTAATTTAATAATATAACACTAAATTTTATTATATATATATGATAAATATTTATTAAAAATAATACACAACAACAAAATGTTTAAAACAATTTACAATTTAAATTCTAACTAATATTATATTATTGATATTTAAAAAAAATAATTATTTAATTAATTAATTAATATATTTTTTCCCATTTAGTTATTAACAAAAAAAATACTATAGTATTGATTGTATAAATCAGGGCCTAATATGATATAATTAACTAATAGATGGGTAAACAACCAAACAATCAATTTAAATAAAAAGTGATTTTCAAATCCAAATAATAATAGTTTAGGCAAAACATGTCATTAGTGGCTAATCAAGTGATAGATATTTTCTATAAAAGCTTTTCAAACTTTTTTTTTTGGTCCAACAAAATAAATGACAGGTTTTTAGGCGATAAATAATGAGACCTAAACTAATGTGTTGTGTGTGTTTGGGGACACATTTAACTTTAATATATATATATATATATGATCTAAATTGCGCACCGGGATAGTGAGCCCAGGGACTACTGTAGTGGCCTCCCCCCACCTCTCATACAGTACAGTCAATTGCATCCTTACATACTGTATATATTGGCTGTTAAAAATCTGTTGCCGGCTATTGTGAAGGACCCATGTTTTTTGGTGGTGACGACTACCCCCCCCCCGCTCAAAAACGACACACACAACAGAGGCCATACATACCGTCCATTTATATATAAATATATAGAGACAATACCTAAGCCCTAAAGCGTTGGTTTCGGTACCAATCTCTCTCTCTCTCTCTCTCTCTCTCTCTCTCTCTCTCTCTCTCTCTCTCTCTCTCTGTCTGTCTCTCTGTCTCTCTCTTTCTCTCTCTCTCTCTCTGTCTCTCTCTCTCTCTCTCTCAGTCATATTCACTGTGCAAATCATCGACAATACATTTTATTGTAATCTTTTATTTAATTTTTTTTGTCGCAACAATTCATTCATTCATTGAATTTTTACGTTTAGTCTCTCTCTCTCTCTCTCTCTCTCTCTCTCTCTCTCTCTCTCTCTCTCAATATACTGTATATTACAGTAACAAAATAGTATACATTTAATGTGTGTGTGTATGTCTCCAAATGTCTATTATATTATATTATTATTATTAGTATGCGGTTTATGTCAACCCCTCCCCTCCCCCACTATTTTTGTGTGTGTGAGAGATAAAGAGTAAAAATACAGTAAATACAGTACAACTCATTTAAATAACAAACAAATAAACTAAATGTCTCGACACACACACACACAATGTATTATTTAAAAATAATTGTGTCCTAAAAATTATAAACACTTATGTAGTTGTTATGTAATTAGCTTTGTTAGGCTATTGCTATATATATATATATATTGTTGGTCACACATTAATTATAATTTTTTTTTTAACAATAGTTATTGATAATAATAATAAATAAATAAATTGCTAAACTATTTTCATTTTTGTTGTCAATAATAAAATGACAAAATATTTTTATTATTATTATATTGTTGTTGACTAACTTATATACTGTAATATGTAATACAAATATTATATGTAGATTATATACTTGTATATTATATACTTGTTAATTATATTTATATATAAATTGATTGAATAGTTAACAACAATTATATAATATGTTTAAACATTATTTTCTATTAATTTACTATTAATTTTTTTTGAAGCCATGGGTTTATCAAAAAATATATTTTTTAATTTTATAATTTTTTGTAGAAAAAAACTAAACTTTTTAAACTACACATTGATATCTAGCAATACATACATATATATACAGTACATATATAATAGCATATATAAAGCGATCCATTTAGTTATAACTGACTGAATAGTTAAATGAAAATTGAAAAGCATGTGTTGTATGTGTGTGTTTGTATGTGTTGGATGGGGAACGGGAGCTAATATAATGATGGGTACCCTTGTATACTGTATATATACCAGGGTTAGGTGAAAAGTGATATATGACCAATTACAATATTATTATTATTGTAATAGTTGAGCAGTTCACAGTATGGCACATATACTGTATATAATATATATATATATACAAAAAATCTTAAACTTTCATATATATAATATACATATATATATATCTATATAAGCGCACCGTTTGACTCACACAATAGCCAATAGTCAATGGTGGTAATGTCCGCCCATTTTTTGACATTTGCTACACAAACCGTAATATATTGATACATACATTATATATATACAATATATATATATATATATATATGTATAGACAGTAATATATAGATAGATAGATGAGAGAGAGAGAGAGAGAGAGAGAGAGAGAGAGAGAGAGAGAGAGAGAGAGAGTGAGAGAGAGTAAGAGAGAGAATATGTCATTGATATTGAATACTAAGGAACTGGTCGTTAAAAATTCTCTCTCTCTCTCTCTCTCTCTCTCTCTCTCTCTCTCTGTATTTATCTCATTGTCATATATATATATATACAGTGTGTATAATGTAAGCCTCTTTAGCACTAGTACTATGAGTATGTGCACACATACACACATATAGACATAAACACATAAACAGCATTATTATTGCCCATTACATTTTTAAGGGGGACAGTTGTGTGTGTGTGTGTGTGTGTGTGTGACTATAGATTTTTAGCACCCGTGTAAACACATATGCCAATGACATATATATACATATATAAAGTTAGTCAGTAATACACAACACAGTAGTATATATATATAACAACTTAATCCCATTTCTCACATGCTGTATATGCAGCAAAAAAAAGGTTAATCCAATTGAGTCATCACACATAGAGTACATACATGAGCTTTATTAACAACAATACAATACATTTTAAGAGGACATACATACAAACACACAACTGTGCTGTCAATGACTGTATAGTTTCTCGAGTGACTACTATATACAGTACTACTAAACAGTGGATTAAATTGCTTTATATATATATATATAGTCTATTCATACAATTCATATATATATATCTATAACATATAAATATGATATTATTATTATTATTATTATTATATACTTTATATATATTATGAGATAAATGACAAAAACATTTTGAAATATATACTATTTTTTTACGATTATTATTATTATTATTATTTTCTATTTATCTCATAATCACATATCATATAACTAACTAACTAATACTGTATGTGTTGTACATGTATTTAAGTGACAAATGTCACTGAAAATTATATATATGTATATACTATACTATATATGACAACATGTAATTGCCGTTAATAACTCATTATTATTATTGTTATAATAGTTACAGAATATTATAGAAAATATTAATGAGTTTTAAATAATAAAAAATTTAAACTCATTTATACAACACATTAAAACTATTAAAATAAATTTTAATCATATATTAAAACTAATTTACTATAAAAAAAATAAATAATAAATAAAAAATATTACAAATAACTAGATATAGACATAGATAGCTAAATAATTGTATACAATATAAGTTTTTTTTTGCATACATATATATATATATATATATATATATATATATATATATATATATATATATATATATATATATATATATATATATATACAGTATATATATATAAATGTAATTTCACACAATTTATATATATATCTAAAAAATAAAATGCATATTTAAATATAATAATAATAATATATGTTTTGTGTGTAAGTATTTATGTGTTGTGTTATTACTTAAAAAGAGGAGAGAAAAAAAATAGGTGAGTGCTCTGTATATACATATATATATTGAAAGGTAAGTGCGGATAATAATGGTCGTGACATTTGCTTGACTTTTCGATTCAAATGGTCATACCGTACACACAATAGTGTCGGTGCATTTTATGACGGTGCTTTCACACACACACACACACACACATAGAGAGAGAGAGAGAGAGAGAGAGAGAGAGAGAGCCGAAAGCGTATATATATATATAATACATATACTAGACATACATTCAAACAAACAAAAAAAACGGTTTTCCAGAAAAATATTAATTGTGATCAACAATACAACAACAACAAAAATTTAGATATAATATGAATAACACGACAGGTCTGGTCTCTCTCTCTCTCTCTCTCTCTCTCTCTTTCTCTCTCTTTATCACTGTATGTATGTGTCAACGCACCGGCATTTTTCTTAGTCTATGAATCTATGAGTGCCCTATAACTACACACACAGTTTTAAAATAAAATGCCGTTTTGTATGTATGTATGTATGTATGTGTGTGTGTGTATGTAAGTGTGTGTATGTATGTGTATGTGTGTTAAACACCCAGCAAACTACTAGTGCCGATATATCGATAACAACCCATTTAGTATTAGTTAGACAATTGACTCATTCAATTCAATTCAATACATATATACATCACAATACAGTCTAAAATATCTCAAAATGACTTTTCAATCATTTAAAACTATAATAATTGTATTATTAATATTGATATCAACAACAAAAATAAATAAATAAAATGTTTTTAAACATTTAATATCTGTATAAATAACTTGTAAATGTAACTAAATTTTATTATATATATACAGTATATATAAACTAATTAACTTTAACTATTATTATTATTACTAGATTTAAAACCACACAACAACTAAAAATAATTTTCAACAATTTATTTATGTAAATACAGTACTAATGTAATCAAATCACTACTACTACTACTACTAAATGTAATTAAATTTAAATAACAAATTTTATTAAACAAATTAAATATTGATACTAAAAATTCAAACAAACATGTGTATCAATATTATACTGTATATATACTGTATAGAGTATAAGTTACAATATAAATGTAACAAAAATGTTTTTGAATTAGTTTATAATATCAACAAAAAAAAACTACCAGTGCTTGGTTAGCGTAGTACTACTAGTAATAGTAATGTTTAAATACTTATATATATATATATATATATATATATATATATATATATATATATATATATATATATATATATATATATACTAAATATAAACTAAAATTATATTAAATGAGATTAGCATACACTGTGTGTTGGTGTGTGTGTGTTTTGCACTGTTATATACCCAACAACAAAAAAAATAAATGTTTGGTAATAAAGTTGTCTGAGTATATCTCTATCTATCTATCTGTGCACTGGTAGGTAGTAGTAGTAGACTCTCGGGTGGCCTACAAATTGGCTTAACACAGCTAACACTCAGTACTATTACCCGCACCGTCAATATATACCACACAATTCTCGTGCCAATTGATTTTTGGTGGTCTCTGTAACTACTCGTCACTTATAATACAGTGTTTATTGCTGGGCTGGTTAAACATCCCTGTGCTAATAGAGAGAGAGAGAGAGAGAGAGAGAGACTACCAGTGCTTTACTACTACTACTACTACTACTACAGTACCAGTAAATATATTACCAATGAGTTAAAAGTTAGCACCAGTAGTAGTAATCTAGTTAATTTGTGGTCAAAATAATGAGTTACAGAGCTCCGGTATATATTGATATATACAGTATATCTTAGAGCTAGTAATCCCAGTCTCTCTCTCTCTCTCTCTCTCTCTCTCTCTCTCTCTCTCTCTCTCTTTCGTTAAATACAATTGCATTGCTTGCTATGGCCATACAGGCAAACAAATTAGTAAATTTAGTCATCTCTCTCTCTCTCTCTCTTTCTCTACAACATTGCTAACCATTATTATGCTAAGGAGGGTGTAAATGAATGTATGGCATAACCAGACATACAGTGAAAGAGAGAGAGAGAGAGAGAGAGAGAGAGAGAGAGAGAGAGAGAGAGATCACCCCCGAGAAAGTCATTCCTCAATTTGGTTGTCCATAACATACGAGTACTGCATAACTAATACATGTCTATACTTGTAATATACTGTATATATATAATATATATATATATATATTCAATGATTTTTGACAACACAATAGAGGAAATCAGTGAGAAATTCATGTAATAACACAATGTTTATAACACACACACACACACACACACACAATGTATAACAATGTCTAACACACACACACACACACATGTCTAACATGTTTGTGATGAAAGACAATAATGTAATATACAATACATTACATTACGTTTATCTATTTATTCATTGATGATAGCGCCCAATAATTGTATGGACCCACCCGTTCCTCATCATATATATAAAGTTATATATACTGTATATATATATATATATAACAAAATACCAATAGTTTAGCCATAGATTTTTAGAGATATAACAGTGCCTTATCAACACACTATGTAGTTACTCACCCACTCACTCACTCACTAATCAACAAATGTTTTCAATTTTGATAAAACAAAAATGCAAATTATTAGACGACAATTCAATCACAATTGATTGCCTACTACTACTACTACACTATGTTTAATATATTGTATTATATATAACGTCTATTGTATACTAATGTATAGATATAATAGATTCACTACATATAGAGATACTGTACTTAACAACAACAAAAAAAGCAATGCTTTTTATAAAATCAAACAACAAATCAATTGTGTTATATATATATATATATACAAAAAAACTAATAATAAAAAACAATGATTTTTACTAGTATTATATCAATAGTTTTCTTAACATACATTATTTATAACTGTATTTAACACAACAAACAAAAAATAAGTCATATTTAATATAATAGTCATATTTATTACTAACTAACTAATCATCAATATTTTTATCATATTTAAAAAAAAATTCTCTATAATTATCATATTATCAAATTTAACAATAATATAAACTATATAAACATATATAACTGTATTTAACACCAAACAAAAATTAAATAAATCAAATATATAATCACATATGTATTACTAACAAAACTAGCTTAATCATTAATATTGCTATTTTTGAAAGTAAAATCAAAATCTCAATAACTATCAAATTTTTAACAATAATATAAACATATTTAACTGTAATTAACACTAAAAAAGATAAAATAATTAAATATATTAAATATATAGTCATATGTATTACTAACTAAACTAACTTTAATCATCAATATTGCTATTTTTAAAAAATCAAATTTTTAACAATAATATAAACTAAATATAAACATATTTAACTGTATTTAACACACAAAAAAATCAAAAAAAAAATCAAAATAAAATCAAATATATTACTAACTAACTAACTAATCATCAATACATACAAAATTTTTATTTAGTTTAAATCTCTATAACTATCAAAACAAAAAAAACAATTTTAAACAATAATATATAAATAGAAATTTGATTTTAATTTTTTTTTATTATTAACTAAATATAATATATTAATAATAATTAATTAATTAATAAATAAAAATATTGTTATTACACTAACCGACGGGACGTTATCATTGGTACAGCAGCCTTCCGATAACAGCCTGTCCCTGATTTCCCAGGCAAATATTGACGGACATTCCCGTTTATAATGGGCAATCTTGTTGACCACATCGTTGGTGGCCACCCGGGGTTTACTACCGCCAATAGCCCGGGGCCTTATCGAACCAGTTTCGTAATAGCGTCCCAATATTTTCGATACACAACCATTGGATACCTGAGCGCAAGGACGGGCACAACATGATAGTTAATATTATGTTATGTGATAGGGTTGGGGGGTAGGGGGTGATTGACGGGCCTTAAAAAATTAGCTAATATAACAACACTATTATACATACTTGTAATATGCGTGATATATCGCAGGGTCGGGCACCCGAATGGGCCAGTTCTACAATTTTTTGTCGGGTCGAGTCGGGCAATGGTCGACCATTGACATAGACACCGCCCAATTGGTTAATACCGGAATGACCTATAATTATAATACAATAATAATAATATTAATATTAAATATTATCTAACATTTGTATATTAATTATAATTATATATATAATTTTAAAAAATATTTTTATGCATAACATTATAGATATAGTATGTATAAGATAAGCAATTAGTAAACACATACACATACACATACACATACACATACACATACACATACACATACACATACACATACACATACACATACACATACACATACACATACACATACACATACACATACACATACACATACACATACACATACACATACACATACACATACACATACACATACACATACACATACACATACACATACACATACACATACACATACACATACACATACACATACACATACACATACACATACACATACACATACACATACACATACACATACACATACACATACACATACACATACACATACATGGTAACGGTATGTAATATAATACCCCTGGTCAAATTTACTGCTAAATGATAATGATGATGATGATGATGTGATGACAATATAATAGTATACAAGTTTATTATTTAAGAGGACAGGGCATCTAAAAATATATTGACAGTCCTTGCTTGAAGGCATACCCCCATAGATATACAAACACATACTTATAAATAGAAAGAGAGAGAGAGAGAGAGAGAGAGAGAGAAAGAGAGAGAGAGAGAGAGATAATATATCCTATGATGCGTTCATCTGAAAGTAACAATAAATTTGTTTAGTGTGTGTGTGTGTGTGTGTGTGTGTGTGTGTGTGTGTGTGTGTGTAAAACATTTGTGTGATTAATAACAATAGAAGTTTTAACACTTTTATTATTATTATTATTATTTTTTTGATTCAAAACTATGTTTTCACAATACAATTATATAATCTAAACATAATTTTCTGTATTGTGTTTGTATACTACTAATATGTATGCTAAGTGTGTGTGTGTATTAAATAGCAAACTATAATATTATTTTATCATTTTATTGAATGATAGACAACAACAACACATAAAAACAAACATCACTACTATTTTGTCATATGTTTGGGTTCACAGTTCACAAAGGGGTCAAACAGTCCTATGATATACTTATATACTGTATATGTCATCAGCCTTTGGACACACATAATGTGTTAGTCATATATAGTCTTATTATTATTATTATTATTAGTATATAAATATAGTGTTCAAACAATACTAACTAATAATATGATACATAGATATTATAGTTTAAGTTTATATCTAAAAATATTTTTTCTCTTTTATTTTTTGTTGTTAAAAACATCAACAAAAATATCAGTGAATATTATTGAGTGATATTAAAAGTGACGGAAAAAAAGTATACAAAAAAAAAGTTTACAATTTTTAACTGATTTCTCTCTCTCTTATAACTAACAAACATATATATAGAGTACAATATGATAGAGAAATATCATAATAATAATAATAATAAAATGTATTGAATTTATATATATATATATATATATATATATAAGTGATATCATATATGTATAGAAATGTTAGATTTAAAAAAAAAGTTTCTTTAAAAACATATACGAAAATACTATACGATATGACATATATTGAGAGAGAGACTGAAAAAAAACTATTGGATTTTTATACTGTATTTATAAATCAATATAATATTTCCTCTTTTTTTCTCTCTCTCGTTATTATTATCGGTATATAATAGTTTTTTGTTTAGTCAATGGATACAAATTTGAAGACAACAAACAATATATGACAGAAAGAGAGAGAGAGAGAGAGAGAGAGACCACATGTATGGATACGGCACCGATGACTGGCCATTCAAATGTCAATCACATGTTTTACTGGCAAAAATAGCGGACAAATTTATATATATATATCTAATATATATATATATCGTGTTATATATCAAAAATACATTTAACAGTATAGTTGTTTGTTGTGTGTGTGTGTGTGTGTGTGTGTGTGTGTGTGTGTGTGTGTGTGTGTGTGTGTGTGTGTGTAGTGAATGAGTGAAACAAACCTATTGTATTTAGACGACATCTCTCATGTCATATCAAACTATAGCCCTATTATGTATATATTGTTTGGTTATAACATGTGATGACATCCATTCTCAGCCCTACTTTCCTCTCAATCTTTCTCTCTCTCTCTCTCTCTCTCTCTTACTCTCAGTCTCTCTCAATCATTACAAACGCTATTATATATATACGTTAATAATAATAATAATAATAAAATTGAACAGAAAAATATTTGATTCAGTTTAAAAATACTTTTACATTACAATACATATCTACTGTATGTTATATATATATCATACAAAATAATAATAATAATAATAATAATAATACGATACATAACATACACATTACACATGCATTGAATATTTTTAATATAAAATCAATACAACTATTGTATAGTTAAAAATTCCGGTCTAACACTTGCATCCCATAGTATTATCACATAGTATTGAATATACTGTATATAACATATACTACAACAACAACACAAACAACAATAAAAATTTCTAGTTTATTGAGAAAATTGTCTCAAAAATAAAATTAAATAATAATATTGAAAAATAATTGAATATTGAATTATTATTTTTTGAATTTATAATTACTAAAAATATWTATATAATAATAATAATAATAGATAAAAATTTTAGACAAAAAAATTTTTAGTTATATTATTTTTGTTGGTTGTTTTGTTTTTGATAATCCAATTTAATTTCAATCAATTTAAATCCATGTATATCTCTTATAAAATATAATAATAATAATAATAATAAATTCATTTATTAATATAATAAATAAAACAAAATTTTTGTATAAAACAATACAAAATACGGGGAAAATATTTTTCTTTAACAACTATGATATTTAACATRCAATATATATATATATCAAATTATGGTAAACTCTCACGGGATATATATATATAACTAAATTATATATATATATATATATATATATAACTAWATATATATATATATATATATATATATATATATATATATATAGTWTATGGGGGTATCAATAATGAACGAAAAATACTACTAAACTAAACTAAACTAAAAGCCAACCAATTTATTATATTATTTATCATAATTTAAGTCAAAACATTGTATTAGAGAGAAAAACTAGAGATTTACTGTTTTATATATATATATATATATATATATATATATATCATAGATATATATATAATAGTAGTATAAAAATGTTATATCAAAAAAAACAACAAAATATTATATACCGTTATATTCAGCGGGGAATTGTGGGTTACAATTGAATGATAAAATAAAAATAAAAACATATATATATATATAATATAATATAATAACATAGCAATTGTTAGACTCTCAATAGGGGGCTATCGGTTAACCCAGCGGTTTATTATTATTATTATTACGATTTATTTTATTTAACAGATATTATTATTTTTTTTTGATCGCCAATTGAAAACTAAAACGATTTATAATAATAATAGCAAATAAAATCATCACAAAAATCTTGGAAACACTTGAAAATCAGACACAAAAACACTTAAAATAGTTATGATATATAAATACTAATATAAAAAAAATAATTATAAAGTGATTGATATATTTAATAGTAGAAAACATGCATTTTTTGTTTGTTTGTTTGTTTGTTAATTAATATTAATTTTTTTTAWATATAATTATAATCTAAAATAATAATAATAATTAGTAATAAAAAATAATAATACAGTCCATCCTCTAAATTGTGTTTTTCGACATCAATTTTGTGAAACTTTCTCTCTTTCTCTCTCTATCTCTCTCTCATCGGATATCGATATTAACTATAATATGTGCGAAATAATAATAATAAGCATAACTTAATTAAATAATAACTTAATAGTAATGTCTAATCAAAACAAAATCAAAACAAATATCTTAATTAAAATTAAATGTCGAAAAACCAATTTTATTACAACTAATAATAATAATAATAATGTTTTCGATATTAATTTTTTTGTTGTTGATATATATTTACTAAACAACCAAAAAAAATGGTTTATTTTTTAAAGATATCAATACTCTGTATATATATATATATATATATATGTTTTTGACAGTCTATTAGTTGAAGGGACCTTGATTATATGGAAACCATTTTTTTATTGATAGTTTATTTGTAAATATATATATATATACAATATATACATGTGATATATATATATATATAATATCGAAAATATTATTATTATTATTATATTTTTTTTCTTATGTGTATCGGATATATGCTAAACAAGACACCAACAAAAAAAAATCTATATATATCTACACTTATATATATAACTATATAACTATATATATATTTAATAATAGTCTAATAAGGCTTATCATAATTATTAGATACCATACCCTTGTGAGGCATTCTACAGTGTTGTTCCTGTTGTTGTTGTTGGTGTTGTTGTGATAGGACGACACCGGCCGCCAGTACTGATGCCGTTGTTGTTGTGTTGGATAAGCTGTTACTAGTGGTGTGGTTGTGATGGCTATTAAACGCCGACACCGCCGACACGGCCGCCGCTGCCGCCGATGATAGCGATGTATAAAACGATAGGGCAATGATGTTATTGATTGATTCAACCGATTGATTAATAATGATTTTTTATGTCTATTATTATTATTAATAATATTACAATTAGTAGTTAAACTAATTAATAATGATTTTTTGGTCACTACCAATGTATCGGCAATTATTATTATCGATGACAACAAATCATTTGCTATATAGAAATATACAGAGAAATAAATAAATAAATAATTAGTTAAATAAACTAAAACATTATTATTATTATTGAATTATATATATATTTTAAAAAAAACTATAAATTATTTATTTACCACATTTTATCAAAAGCATATTAAAACATTTTTTTAAAAATAAATAAATATATTAATATATATATATATATATATACAATATAGTGTATTATTTCCCAAAAAATTTATTTATTATGCGATTATTATGATTATTAAATATTATAAAATATTACTAGTATAACAAATATAATAATAATACTAATAAAATATAAATAATTTTATCACAATTATTATTATTTGTTAAATATGTGAATAAATAGAAATCTATTTATATAATAATTTTATTTTATTTATTTGAAAAAAATTAAGGCAACTATAAATTTTTTACGATACACACACTAAAAAAATATCAAAATATTTATTATAAAATAATTATCAAATTATTTATAATTATTTATTTTTTGGATTACATAAATATAATGGGGTTTTTTAAAAAAATGTGATTGTTTTATATACAGTATATATATATAATAAATCCATAATTGATTATTATTATTATTAAACATTAAACACATAGCTGGCTAACACACAATCATTATTATTATTATTATACATAAAAAATTAATTAATTATTTAAATAATAATAATATTTATTTTTTTTAATAATAATCATAATAATACTTATTTAAAAAAAATATAGTTGTTTGATTATTACAAATTAAAATTAAATTAAACCAATTAAACATTTAATGTTGTTAGTATACCCACACACACACACACAAAAATGTTTATTATTATTATTATTATTATATAATAATTAAATATTATATAAATCACAATAAAGTATAAGGGGTAGTAGTAGTAGAAATAGTAGTATTGTATATGAAAATGGTAACTCACATAAAATAACTATATATTTGTATATATATATATATAGATACAATATATTGTATACTATACTATATATATACCACTATAAATACACTATAAATTTTTCAGTAGCGCATACAGTACAACATACCAGTGCGCTCATAAAATCACTGTTTATATATATATATATATATATATATATATAAAGTACAGTATACACACCCGTAGATTACAATATATTTGCTGTGTGTGTAATACTTGACTACTACTACTACTACAACAACAGTATTTTTACTGTATGTTTGATATATATAATATGATATTATTTTGTGTATTGCTTTTCATCACTTTTTTTCAATCTCTATCTCTCTCTCTCTCTCTTTATTTCTCTCTCTCTCTCTTTCTCTCTTACATAGAGTTCATAGGCATAACATGACATACACTTATGCCATGTCTGTGCCATACAATTGTTATGTGTGTATGTGTTTGAAAATCACTGGCAACTGATTAGGTGGGAGCGCAACCAGGGAGGAGACTATGCCATCGATTGGATGTATGTGTACTGTATATATATATATACAGTATATGGTATTGATATCACTATATATATAAACATGTATATAATGGCTTCTGTAGCCAAAAAAAAAAATCTAACTGTTCAAACATTATTATATATATATACAGTATATTTTTAAAAATTTTATATTTTTCAAGAGTATATTGAGATTTTTTTTATATATAAAAATTTTTATTTTTGTTTCTTTTGAGAGTTAAATCTTTTTAGATTTTTTTTTTAGTTTTTCAATCTCTAAAATAATAATAATAATAATATTGATATCGATTTCCAATGGATTTAAACTCTATATAATACTATTAGATATATATATATATATTGCTATCTATTTGCAAATCCTAATGTTTTTTATTTTATTTTGTATTTTATGTTTTCTATTGTTAGGATAAATATTTTTTTCCCTGTAAGTGTATTATACAACAGAAAAAATATTATTATTATTATTATCATATATGATATATAAAAAAAATAGTTTTTTAAACGTATAAACTAATCGTTTAATTGCATAATTATTTTGTTTGTTTGTTTGTTTCAGGATTAATACTGTATATGTAAATGCATCAAAAATAAAATAATATAAACATTATATAACAAAAAAAAATTAATATCACTTTTTACTGTATATATATGTGTATATAAAGTACAATACATTACTATATATATATATAATATATATATTTTTTAAAATTTCACACAATTTTAAGGCCCAAATCTTAATGTATATAATATGTATGTCTAGTGTGTGTGTGAAAGTGGTATTAAAATTGTGTGTTTAAAAAAAATGGTTACATTTAATGCTTGGATAAACTAATTTTTCCCACTAAACTACTATACTGCTAAATGTTTAAGATATATATATATATATATATATATATACAATATGTGGTGATATGATGACAATTGTATATATATATATACAGTATGTTTGGGAACTGTATGTATGTGTAGGAACGGTAGGTACTGAGAGAGTGTGTGTATTGTCAATGGTCAATGAGGGGGATATGCCGGCATGTAAATTACTATGTATTACAATGTATTTAGGAAATTACATGCAAACCAATTGATATAATATATATACATATATATATATATATATATATTGAGCCGATTGTGACACAATTGCATTGGTAGTAGTGGTGGTGCCTACAATAGGGTACACCATACGGTATACGGTATATACAGTATATATATACGGTATCATACATATATCAAATGAATTAGTCTATACCCTAAACATACCGGAGCGGCATTTTTTTCATCTTATGTTTGAATCTCTTTAGTTTTTTTTTAATACTACTATATATATATATATATATGTTATACTTAAAAATGGTCCAGGCCAGTTAGAAAAGTTTCTCCCATACATGAGTACCACTACTACCAAAAATATGATACTGTTTTGGCTGCTGCACAGGTAGGTAGGTATTAGTCAATCGGTGTGCACACACACACTGTGGGCGCCGATAGGTATTATTTTTGGACAACAATTTTCCACTTGAATTATATATGAATAGTTATAGTGGAAAATATATAAAAATCGTTGAGGTTTTTCGGGTATTAAGGTATTACTAAAATGTATTTTTAGTACTAAAGTAATAGAGAGAGAGAGAGAGAGAGAGAGAGAGAGAGAGAGAGAGAGAGAGAGAGAGAGAGAGAATGAGAGGTAAAACATAGTCTATTTGCTATTATATATCATTATTATTGTGTATTATATATACATAGTATAGACTATTATAATAGTGGAGACATTGTGTTGTTTAGTGGACATACTTTTAGTGAACCGATTATTATTAATATAACAAGAGTTTTGTTTATATCTTACAATTATATCTAAAAATCTGTATGTATTGTATATACACACAGAAAAAGTATAGATATAAAAGGGGTCGACCCGCTTATGTCTCAAACACACACACACACACTCTGGGAAACTACATGTCCGACACACACACACACACATACACATAGAGAGAGAGAGAGAGAGAGAGAGAGAGAGAGAGAGAGAGAGAGAGAAAGAGAGAAAGTAATGGTGTATTAGTAGGTCTGATCCGATCTATCGATCGGACAAATAGTTATAATAAAAATACTTTTAATTTTCGGCGTCCTTTCCAAGTGATCGCCGATTATTATTATTATTATTATTTGAGTGCAAACTTGTAAGTCGTTATTGTAGTTGTTTTTGTTGTTATTGTYATATATATATACGGTATATATTGTATATACTATTGATATATATACGGCTTTTTTTTTGTTACGTTTTAGTAGTAAATACTACTTTCCTCTCTCTCTCTCTCTCTCTCTCTCTCTCGACGTCTATGTTGTCGTCGTCGTCGTCAAAGAAATGGTATATATTTTATATATATTTATATATAATATTATATATATTAGAGGCTCTCGACTCTAAAGAGCTTTTTAGTACCCCCACCCCAACCCACTCACCCTATCCACCACCACCCCCACCAAAAAAATAATAGCATATAATATATATATATTGACAACAATTACAAGTGGTGTTATTGACGGTAATGGTTGGTAGTAGTGGTGGTGGTGGTGGCGGTGATAGTGACTCCTGGCTCCTGGAGTATTGGAAGCACTGGGGGTATATGGTATGGTTGTTGAGAAATAGGACTGCACTGGTAGTCAATACAGTCGACTACTACTACTACAACTACTACTACAATCCACTTTCCGGCTTTAAGCTATTATCTCTCTCTCTCTCTCTCTCTCTCTCTCTCTCTCTCTCTCTTTCTCTCTCTCTCCAAAAAAAATTATCTCTTAAAGAGGGATCTAATGATGGGGGACATCATCATAATCAGCATCAGCACATGTATCACAAGCACATACATACAACACATAAAACTTCATATAATCAATAGCTTAGTCAATGACTACAACAACATTGCAAACTCAACAACAAAAATCAAATGTTAGTTAAATTTCAATAATAAAAGTTAATTGTTTTATATTTAAATATTTTTTTTTTTTTTAAAAAAGATACTAAATGTGCATAAAAAATAAATTATTATTATTATTATATTATTATTAATATTATAATAATATGTTTTTTGTTGCTTTTTAAAGAATATTCTTTAAAAATAAAATTATTTCTAAAATTATTCTATAAGTAGAGTACATATTGTTTAATAGTAAACAGTTTATAATAGTTACTGTTATTTATATATATAATTAACTTTTATTAGTTAACAACAAAAAAAAAATAAAAAGTTATTTTTCATTATATTTATACAGCAGTATATGTATGTATAATATTATAGATAAGAAACTACTGTACTTTAATAATAATAACAATAATAGC